TAGTATAATGTCAACTTGACATAAACTAGAGTCATCAGAGAAGAGGAAGCCTCACTAGAGAAAATATTTTCAGAAGATTGGGCTATAAGCAGATAAGCCTGTAAAGCATTTTTGTAATTAGTATTTGATGGGGAGGGCCCAACCTATTGTGGGTGGGGCTACCCCTAAGCTGGAGGTCCTGGGTTCTATAAGAAAGCAGAACGAGCAAGCCATGAGGAATAGGTCAGTAAGCAGCACCCTCCATGGGCTCTGCATCAGCTCCTGCCTCCGGGGTCCTGCCCTGCTTGATTTTGAACTTGGCTTCCCTCAACAGATTATATGATTCAGCAAACGGATGCCAAATAAACCCTCTCCCCACAAACTGCTTTAGGCTGAGGTGTCTCACCACAGCAGAAGAGGAACAAGACACACTACCAGCCAGGAAGTAATTGCTACTTCACCTTCCAGTACAACGACATTTGACAGCGTCCAATGTATTCCTATTCAATATAACCACCAATAGGACTTTAGCTTTGGTATAGTCTGTATAAATCTGGCTCATTAATTTAAAAAACCAATTCAAATATTCATACATATCATGTCAACAAACTTCTTTCCTCCCTCAAAAGTATTATATTTGTAGTTTTTGAGTATTTCTTATTCAGATGATAAAAAATTTAGTGGAAAAATTAGAATTTTTTCTCTCAACACAGAGTATGTTTTTTAGGAAAACAGAAGAAAAAAAGACAGCATGTTCTTAGCATATATTGTAAGGTTTAGTATTTCACAGAACAAAGAATAAAGATGGGAATATAGAAGGCAGTCTTCACTCCACCAGAATTGAGAACCGTGTCTTCTAATGATCCCAGATCTCCTATAAAAAAGAGACTGGTCATCCTCGGCTAGCTTGCTGACTGGTTAACTCCTCATGGATGCCAAAATCCTCCTGGTGCTTAGGTTCTCCATAGAAAATGATAGTATTTGCACAGAACCTATGTGCATCCAGCACAGACTTCAAATACCTAGTGCCACGTAAATGTTTTACAAATAATTGCTATATACATCATGAAATAATAACAACCCCCCCAAGCCCCTGCACACATTCAGTGGAGGTGCACTTTTTCACACATATTTCATCGATGCTTGGTTAAACTCCTGGAATCAGACACAGAACCTGAGGCTCTGCATGGTCAACATAATTACATAATTACAAAATGCCCTCTCTTTGCTTAAGTATCGTAGTGAATAATCACACTTGGGCCCTCCCAGCTGTTCTAGGAGACACCAGGTGGGGTATGGAAGTGAGCGCAAGAGGAGCGCACTTGGAAAGGTCAGTCTTCTTGATCTAGAGCCTACGAAGCACAGGGTCAGTTTTGCTGCTGTGTGATGCACTACAGAAGCAGAATCACTTTACATTGCCCCTTTGGTTTCCATGAGTTTGTGCTGAATTTCTATCACCTGGAAATAAAGAGTAGTGACTGGAAAATTATTTTTCTACTGACTGAGTTTTCATATAAGTAATTTATCTATCTAAGTCTTTGACTTAGCTCAACCAAAAGTAAAGTTCAGGACTAGAAGTTAGGCTTCATTTTAAGAATCTTATCCACTTATAAAGTAAAATCAAATCACTGAACATTTATTAAATTGCTCATCCTAACATCAAAGAGTTATTAGTAAGTACACTTGGTATAATTAGTAATAAGAACTTTAAGAATAGATGGTAAGTTACCCAATGCAATGAGGCTCATTGCAGCGAATTAGCAGGGTGTTACAACAAAACCCATGCAATCTCAATATTTATAAGATCTGCTTCACCACCCAACTGCTAGGCAAAGTGAAGTGAACTGCTTTGATCATGACAAAGCATACCCTAACCAAGGAGTTAACTTTATTTTCATACCGACAGGAACAGTTACAGATCTAGAAATTAGGTGGGTATGGTAGTTTGAATAGGTAAGGCCCCCCACAGACTCATGTGCTTGAATGTTTGATCCATAGAGACGGCACTATTAGGAGGTATGGCTCTGTCGGAGTAGGTGTCACCTTGTTGGAGGAAGTGTGTCACTATAGAGGCAGTCTTAGAGGTTTTATATGCTCAGATTAGGTCCACTGTGGAATACAGTTCACTTCCTGTTGCCCATGGATCAAGATGGAGAACTCTCAGCTCTTACTCTAGCAGCATGTCTACCTATATGCTGCTAAGCTTCTCGCCATGATGATGATGGACTAAATCTCTGAAACTGTAAACCAGCCCCAATTAAATGTTTTCCTTTATAAGAGTTGCTGTGGTCATGGTGTCTCTTCACAGAAACAGAAACCCTAACTAAGACAGTGGAGCATATCCAAATACAAGCAACATGTAATGCAAATGTTCTCCAAAGGGCACGGCAAGAGGCTGGAGAGATGGCTCAGTTGGTAAGAGCCCTGGCTGCTCTTGAAGAGGACCCGGGTCTGACTCCTAGCATTCACATGGTAGTTCACACTTATCCCTAACTCCAGTTCCAGGGGATCCAATGCCCTCTTCTGACCTCTATGGGCACCAGGCATATTTTTACATATAAAGTAAAATAAATAAATCTCCTCTTTAAAAGCATAGCCAAATGTCTGAAGGTTGTGATACAACCGATCTTAAAGCCCCCAACATGTACTCTGCACCACAACAGGGACTGGCCTTGTTTGTTTGCTTGCTTGCTGTACATGTGCTTTCATGTCATTGTTTTGCTGTGGTTTGGGTTGCACAAATTTTTCCTGTTTTATTCTTGTTTGACTTTTTTGCCATAAACTAAAGATCCAAAATGACATTAGTGTGGACATGCAGACATTTTATCTATAGCACACAAATTACTTCAGAGTAATTTGAGGACGAAAAACAAAAAGCACTTCACTATTTTGGCTAATAAGTTCCACCTTTCTCTTATCTGGCTGGTAGGCAAACAGAGGCAAAGCACAAGTGAGACTAATCCAAACAGAAAACAGAAATGTGGGCACTTATTCCTGCGGAGGAAAACACTGGCTGTGAGCTGCGCCTTCAGGATATGTGCACAGACAACAGTCACTCAGAAAGCCTCCTCAAAGGACCAGGCCCACATCAGAGCAAATGCACAGTCACTAAGTGGGGATTCACATGATTATAGGAATAACGGACCATATATACTGCTGGATTTGGTTCTAAAGGAGCTGACAGGGAGTTTTAGCTGCAAAAACTGAAGGAGGACACCGCAGTATACACAGGTTCCCAAGGAGACTTCCTGCTATAACAAGAGAGCATAATGATTGCTGGAACCAAATTAATTATACACAGTAATCATGGATCTAATAGGTCCAGGCCCGACCAAAGGTTCTAGAGAGACTGACAAACCACTGACCTCCAGTTTCATTTGAACTTCACAACTAGATACTAAGAGAAAACTAGTCCACTGAGAACTAAAAAGTTTATCTTCCACCAAAGAAAAATCCCATATTTATTTAGAGGAAAATAAAATAATTTTCCCCTCATAGAGAGAATGAGTACTTAGGTGTGGCATCATACACATTTAATCTCAGGACTTTGGAATCAGAGGCAGGTAGATTTCTCTTGAGTTCAAAGCAAGTCTGATCTATACATATTGATTGCCAGGGCAGCTAGTATTATGCAATGAAACCCTGTCTCAAAAATCAGAAAAGATTTTTGTGGTGTAGCTTCTGATACTACCAGGAGACAAAATGTCATGAGGCTTCAAAACTACACAAAGAACTATAGGCAACTGAGGAAAGTTGGGAACAAGAAAGATGGCCTTCTCCAGAGAAGAGGGCATCAACTGACGGTCAGCCCTGAAAACATGCATACAAGTACTATTATATGGATCAAACGGGTTATATTTGGGAATATATATATATATATGTTTATACATATATGCATACAATAACAATTTTCTTAAAGGCAGTAAATTTGAAGGAGAGTGGGGAGGGGTAGATGACAGGGTGTGGAGGAAGAAATGGGAACGGGAAATATTGTAATCACGTTATAATCGCAAAAAGAAAAAAGGAAATAAAATGTTACAAAGAAAAAACAAACAAAAAGTTTCCTAGTTGTTTGTTTTCTTATTTGTGACAGTCTCAGTATACAGCCTTTGGCTGTCCAGGAGCTCACTATATAGACCAGGCTGACGTGAACTCATAGGGATCTGCCTGTCTCTGCCACCTACTCTAGGATTACAGTCGCGTGTCACCACCGCCTAGCCTTCCCAGTCTCTTTATTGTTCCAGCTGATATGCTTCCAGCCATTCTCAAGGGTCCTGGCTGATGTTCCTGATTTCTATAATGTGTGGGGAGACTTGTACATGGGTTTTGTTTCTCCCCTCAACAGTTATAAATACGATCCACTCTCTAAACAACATCAAATGAAGAAGGTGGACATTTCCTAAGATGAAACTGAGTGGAGGGCAGTCAGCCAAATCCTCATTGGAGCTGAACCGGGGCCTCTGGCTCGGTGTTTCCTTCTCAGAACCTGTTCTTTGATCTGTGTGGCTCCTTTCACTAGTCACAAACTAGTCCTTTGGAGCCCACCCCATCTCTGCGGGGCATGCACCCCTTCCCAAATAGTAGTTCCCAAGGCGTCTATCACATTTTAGGGAACACCATATATACTGATGAATCTCTGGAACAGCCCCAACTTGGAAGGTGCCTGAGTTCAACTGTGGACATAAAGAAGATGAAATGCCCTTTTGTGAACATGTTCAATATGCAGGATGCCTTGGACAAGTTCTATGAGTCTTTCATCCCAGTAAGATTACTAGGTGAAATGATTTTCCTGAGTGTAATTTATTTATACTACTACTACATAACCACCTTGCAAAGAAAAAAAAAACCCTCATACATAAACAACTTTTAAGGTTAGTGCTTTAGTGACAGAAACAGAATTCCTGCAATAAGCATCAAAACTCATCATTAGAACAAAAAGTGAACAAACCAGTTATACAAATATTGAGCTAAATAATTAAAGTTTGATTTGTATTCTCTTACTGATAATTGTATATTTTTACCTTGAGAAGGTATGTGGGAATGTTGCTGAAATCTACTGGTAACTTCAATAGGAAACGAGCTGAAAATTCACCAGTCTGCAGGGGGAAAAAAAGATTAAAATATAAAACAAGATGAGAAGTAACAATTACAACCAAGAAAAAAAAATCTCAACTATTTCAATATGCAGACAACAGCAATTAGGGTTTCCTAACATAGGGCAGAAAAGTAAGGTGGGAAAGTAAAGGATGATTAAAAAGAATTCTTGAACTATTAAAAGAGCACAGTTTCAATGTCAGAAGTCTGCATTTTATTGCATGATAAAATTTTAAAGTAGTATTGCATTTTTTAAAACTGTGAAAAGAATACACGAATTAATATAATTTTTCAAAAGCCTGAAACAGGAAGAGACCAACCCAGCCCTTAGACTCATTGCTTTACTAAGCACACATACCACCTCACTGATTCCATAACTTATCATCATGTATGCAGATAGCCGTTATAGCTGTTACATATGGAAGTCCATACAAAGACAAAACCCACTCAAGTAAAGCAATACATCAATGTAAATCCAGATAAGTTTGCAAACTTTGGAAAGTTCATTAGTATTATTATCAACTAATGATTTCCGTACTTTCCTCTATAATCCACATGAGAAAGATACATAGAATTAGAAATTTAAAACACTTAATCTACAAATAATAACTCTAATTAATTAATTAATTCCTGTGTGTGTGTGTGTGTGTGTGTGTGTGTGTGTGTGTGTGTGTGTGTGTTTTGCCAGGGCCTCATGCCCTGGTTAAAAAAAAAAAAAAAAAGGTAAGTCCTTTTTCTTTCTTTTTTTCTATTGTTTTTTATTGTGCTATACATTTTTCTCCACTCCACTCCCTTCCTTTCATCTCCCCTTCTACTATCTCCCATGACCCCACACTTCCAATTTACTCAGATCTTGTCTTTTTCTACTTTGACCGAGGGGTTCCAAGGACCTATGCAAAGGCAACAAAGCTGCTGGCTAAGCTGGTAGGGTCCTGAGTCTTCCGCCCTCTCTCACTGCGAGCATACAGCGTGGTTTGGGATTTTGACACAATGAATTCCAATACAACATGTTTGACACAACAAACAACAACAAAACCACAGATGATCTGAAACGGCTTCAGAGAATGGCGCTTGCTCTAGCCATTCACTTGGATTAGAAACACAGATTAATGCACCTTTCATCTCTCATCAGAGAAGCTTGTATTTATAAAAATGGTAAGTAACAAGAGACCCACAACTGGTCAAGGTACAGAGAATAAAAGATTTTTAGAATACCCATCCCTAAACAGGACATCTATATCATAATCCCTTCCTCCTAGGTTCATAGATCATTTCAGAAGAGACAGAAGGAGTATAAAAAGCTGAGTGGTAAATGATTACATAGAAACAGTGTCTTCCGGATACACCAGAGCAGTGGCACATATGAATTTATAGTGGCTGTAACAGCAAGCACAAGACCTGCGCAAGCTAAAGCCAAACCAAAGCCCAGTATGGAGAGAGGAGGTGGGCATGAAGTTCCACATTTAGTCGAGCAGCTATTGGCAACTTAAAGCTACTAAAAGAGCTACTGGAAGAGGAATAAATGTAGTTTTCTTTAAATGTAGCTCCTGGTAAGTCTATCATCCTCCAGTAGAAGGTTACACATCCTAGAACATATGAGTAACATAAGCTAGATTTAATTTGTGGGAGGAAAAAAAAAAGAACCACAAAACTAGGTGGGTAGGAAAGCGGGGGGCAAATCTGAGAGGAGCAGGAAAAAAGGTGAATGTGATCAAAACATTATATTAATGTAATCTACTAAGGAGATATACAGTATTGTAACCTACTAAGAATATATACATTAGTGCAATCTGCTAAGGAGATATACATTAGTGCAATCTACTAAGGATATATATTAGTACAATCTACTAAAAAGATATACATTAGTGCAATCTACTAAGGATATATACATTAGTGTAATCTACTAAGCATATCTATATTAGTATAATTTACTAAAGATATATACACTAGTATAATCAACTAAGGATATATACATTACTGTAATCTACTAAGGAGATATATATTAGTATAATCTACTAAGGAGATATACATTAGTATAATCTACTAAGAAGATATACATTAGTGTAATCTACTAAGGAGATACACATTAGTATAATCTACTAAGGAGATATACATTAGTATAACATATTAAGCTCTCAAAGAACAGATATAAAAAAGAACATTTCTCTATCCTTTCACACTGTCATTACCTCAGAGCTCCCAATATCTTTACTGCCTACCAATCCTTCAAAAATGCAACCACATAAACTCGTATGATTATAGCTTTAAGCACAGAAAACACCCACAAGTAATTTTTAGGGACAAAAGGATGAGCCCCACACAAGCCAAGCACACCTTTACAGATGGTTCCTCCATTCTATAAGCAACTAACAACTGGCTTCAGGCTTTTGACCCTCATAAAACTGTGACTTTAAACTTTAGGAATGGAGACAGAAATGCAAACCTTACTCAGAATGTAACAGTGCTAACACTGTCCAGCTCAGCGCTCTCCTTACCACTTAAGATACCTAACTTGCCTCAGTCTCTGGCTAACGATGGAGCATTTCTCCACTATTACAAGGCCAATCTTGTGGACGGAAAGAGGAGAAATGGGGAGTACCCCAAGGCAAACCTGAGGTAAACAAGAGAGACAAAACCCTGTACACCAGGAATGCTAAAGATGAAATGCAAGCCTGATTCTGAAAGTTAAGCAGCTACACATGGCCCAACACTAGGGTGCAGGCTTAAGGGCCACACCGTATTCTGCTGAAGGAAGGGTGATGAGATCCCAGCATAGTTTCCTTTCTGCTGCAGCCTAAGACTTCCAGTGTTTAGCTCCTAGAAAACTCTAAAGCTAATACGCCCTATTTAACTGTGGTTCTTTGGATCAAGACATACTAGAATTGTCATGGAGGAGATACTTTGAAAGAATTAAAGCTAACACCTAACTCTACAGTGTTAAATGGGATTTTATAAGAAGGCTACAAGCCCATTGGGTTACTAAGAATGTAGAAAGAAAACAGAAAACAATCCCCAGTACTATGCACAGTGCTCAGCCAAGAACCCATGCTCCTAACTGACCCTATTCTCTTTCCCCTGTAAAATCAGGCTCCCTCTCTGCTCTCGCCTATCAGCAAGCAAGCATCATCTGAAAGGATCCCTTCTTGTACCTCACTCCCTTGGGAAGCTCACATCTTATTCTTTGTTCCATGTTACAAAATCCTCCTGGAGAGGGTCTATCTGAGCTCTGTATTTCCTCTCTTGTCATTCTCTCTAGTAAACCCTTCTTCCCCCATCACTCCACCAAAATAGCTCCTGAAAGGTCATCAATGACCTCCTCGTTGCCGAACCCCATAGTCATTTCTGGCTTCGTCTCAGTGTCCAGTTAGCCCAACTCTAGCAGGGCTGAAACAATGGAGCATGCATGGGCTTAACTCCAAGATCTCTTAGCTTGGTCACACCCACCAGGAGATTTCATACAAGCTCACGACCTTAAATAATATTTATATACCAATGGCTTCCAAATGCCCTTGCTCCTCTCCAGACATTCTTCTAATTCAAATTTATTTTCCAATACCAATAAAAATTACCGATTTTGTATTCTTTCCTTGATATTTATTCTTCATTGCAATAAACAGAAATTCTACTATCCTTTCAGACCAAAAAAAAAAAAAAAAAAACAAAAACAAAAACAAAAATCCACCATCACCAGACTTCTAGTTTTCTCTCTTGCCTCACAGTCAGTGGGAACACACGCTACTGATAGCGTGCAGCCACTTCTCACGTCCTCTGGCACCTGCTACCGCCTGGAGGGAGCTATGTGACCTCTAGACTAGACACTGCCATTGTCCCTGATTGTCTCATCTCTTTTCAGCTGCAGGTCATTTTCTTCCCAACACGTGGACAGATCGTGACGCTTCTTGTTTGAAATCCTCAGACTGTGGAGATGGACTCCTTTACAGAGGAAGGTGACAAGGGAACATCTGAGCTGGACAGCCAAGTGTCCTGAAGAGCAACAGTGGACGGCTGTGCACAGGGAAGAGCAAGATATTGAGGACTGCAGGGACACATATGCAGGAGACTGACTCATGGTCCACAGAAACTCTCCTCCATGCTGAGAACCATGTCTAACTCCACGGAAGCCATAAATAACAAAAGTGACCACTGTGATCATGAGGAATACTTAAGTCATTTGGGGACAGGAGTTTAAAGGAGCCATGGGATTCCTAGAAACTGGGAAAGTTGGAGAAATGATAAATCAGATTCAACCTCTTTAGTCTTCCTCTACAAAGACAAACTACCTAGTAATAAACAAACATTTATCAGCTAGTCTCTAGTTAAAATGGTAATTTTGAAGTCTTTCATTTGTTAAATCTGGTGGCTTATGTGTATGTATGTATCTGTATACACACATATGTATTTTAAAAAGCAATAGAAAAAATAAAATGTGGGATTTAAAAAATTATAAGAACTCTTGCCCATATAAGGTAACAAAAAATAATTACATATTGAGCATTTGGACTCGAGTGAACTACAAGCTATTTTCGTCCACATACTACATTTTAGCTTTTTGCCCTCCTAGTTTATACAATATATTTTTATTCTACTATTTTAGACCAAACTAAAAAAAAATAGAAAAAGAAAAAAAACCTCTCCAGTGGTCCCTACTTTATCCTTTCCCAAACTGCTGCTCTTAGATTTGACATGCATGTGTGTTTGTTGGCAAGGGCTGACTGACACACTAGAGGCACAATATGAATTTGAGTTTATCTGCAATGGGCTAAGATATGAAACAAAGTCAGCATGAAAGAGACTCATGATAGGAAGGGAATTTGTTCTACTGGGGAAAAAAAAGTTATTTATGATCTCCAGCTTCCAAGCCTACCATACCTTCTTTCTAAAAAACATTTTATCAGCACATATTAATTATACAAGCTAATGGGTTTCATTGTGACATTTAAAAATATGGAATGCTCCATGAATTCACATGCCATCCTTGCATAGGAGCCATGCTCATCTTCTCTCTAGTTCCAGTTTAGTAGATACGCACAGGCCCCACGTTCATCCCCAGAACTACAGAAACATGGCTAGCACAGGAAGCTCAGCACTTATATCTAAAGCACTGGAATTCTAGGAACAAAGGCTCAAGAATCCTGTTGCTAGCTGACACCGACTCTCCTGTGATCTGTAAACAGCCCTTCCTTTGCGAAACTGAGCGAACGGCAGTCTGAAGCATGTCTTTGTGTAACTGAAATTACAGGCACACAATGAATAGAAAAACTCAACTGTGCATGTGCAAACACACACTCATATTCACACACACAATCATTGCTCAACCATATACGATGACTTCTCTATATCTGATTTGCGGTCGCTGTTGTATCATCAGAGATAACTTCTACAGCATGCCTTCCTGGAAGCTGTAAATGAGACATTTAGATGCAGCCAAGTGAATAGAATAGCTTGAATTTTTTCCATCAGTCCCTGGTTAGACCTCCTCTTGGATAGACATAGAAAATTGCCTGACCTATGACTGAAAATGTTAGTCTTCCTGCCAACTGCCTTAATGACACTGTCCCCAGCATCAGCCATGAATATGTGTGTCCTCCTCTTAAGTGAGAAGATGCAGGCAAGGGCTCCAGCCAACAAGACTCGAGCTTCTCTCCTTCGTGGCATCTGTCCCATGTTCCCGTGTCTTTGGGAAGTGACAGGTAGACATCTTGTGCTAACCAGAGTCCAATCAGGTCGTTCTGCCTCAGGGAATCCTCCTTCCTTCTTAGGAACTGTTTCCTTATCCACAAATAAGCTTTCATCTGAGATTGACTGGTGCCACTCAGAGAAGTAAAGGCCAAGAACTGGGAAAAGGTGACTCTAACTTCATCTGTGACAATGTGCTGGGGTGATTCTTAAGACTGCCAAACAACTAGTCTGAGGGTTGCGGACACTGCTCTTTGGAAACAATACAAATACACAATATAAGTTTAAAAAAAGATAGTCAAGGTTAGACTTATTAGACTATCAAACTCTAAAAGATATTTTTTTTTTTTTTTTTTTTTTTTTTTTTTTTCCGAGACAGGGTTTCTCTGTGGTTTTTGGAGCCTGTCCTGGAACTATCTCTTGTAGACCAGGCTGGTCTCGAACTCACAGAGATCCGCCTGCCTCTGCCGGCGTGCGCCACCACCACCCGGCAAAGATATTCTTAAGATGTATTACTGACCCCCAAACTGTGTTCAATAGACATAACTCATTTATATATGTTTTACAGCAAGAGGAACAGCAGCTAAGAGTGGAGCTGTGACCGTAAAGAAGAGCGGGACTCAACCTCAAGGCAGTGTGTGCATCAAGCTCCACGTTCTCAGGACAGAAACACGTGCCTTGTGTGACTTCATTCAGGTCTCAAGTAAATTACTGAACAGGACACGTTTGAAGGAAAAGCCTCGTGATAGTCCTCAAGATGCTGGAGGGCGTGAAGACGTGGATCCCAGAGCAAACTCACTCCTTAGACCAGCTGACATGGAAATTTCTAGTTTAACAAGATACCATGCCTTGATATAAAAGGTGAAGATACCCACATCCATCAGTCTTTGTCCTTCTCATTCATGTGTACACATATGCACATGCATCCCTACATACATACCACATATACAAAGGAAAAGTCCTAAGGGAGAGGAGAAAGGAGACCAATTCATCTGTAAAATCCCATGATTTGACGTGAGAAATCCCATGATTTCTCAGAGACCATGTCTGCGAATGGAGGCCTGCCGGCTCTACCCTGAAGCTTCCTCCAGGCACACTGCTGTAGATTCCTTCATCTTGAGCAGACAGACCATTCTCACTGCTGACCCCCGGTACTCCAGGGACCATGGCTAGGTTGTCTTACGCGCCCAAGATCACAGTGCATTTATAGTATTAGTAACAAGCTAATCCAGTTCTTGATTTAACACATGTTGGCTCAAAATTGAGCTCTTTTCTATCTTGCAGAGTCCATGTTAATCTTCCAGCCCTGGGTTGGCAGAGACTGCGGGAGCAGGCTGTCCTTCAGTGTATCCCTGAGACACGGCACCGAGCTCTCATTTGTCCACCCCTCAAGGCTCACCTGCATACCCGAGCTCTTCGTTGCTTGCTTGAAGGCTAACTCCTGTCCAGATACATGTCTTTCTATATTCTCACTCCTCTAAATCACTAGGCCTTGATACTGTAGCCTGCATTAACTCCTTCTGCCTAGTAGTAAGTAGTCTTTGTGGCTTTACTCACCATAATACAAGTGACTGACAGAGAAGATCAGAGTCACTCCAACATCAGAGTAAAGGGGTTGAACACAGTGCTAGCATGTCATCAGTAAATCGGTGACATCAGCCAGGAAGATTCTGAAAATCCATCAACACCATCTGCTTTAAATGGATCTACACTTCTACACTCAGCTGAAGGAAAGTCAAGAAATGGGAAAAATCCTGAAACTGTAAAAGGTGCTATAAAACTGCAGTACATTTCACTTCAGACTGCATATTCAAAGGAAGAGAGCTAGAGGAAGGGAGCTCAGGGACACACAGCTGGCCTTGCAAGTATAAGGATCTAAAGTCAAGCCTCAGAACCAAGGTTAAAAAAACAAAAGGCATGTGGGTGTATGTTTGTAATCCCACTGCTGGAAGGCAGAGGCAAACATATCCCAGGAGCTCACCAGGCAGCTGGTGAATGCCTCAAAAAAAAAAAAAAAAAAAAGTGGATAGCACCTAAAAACATGTAAATCTGTCCTCTGGCCTCCACATGCACACACACTCACACACACACACACAGCAAGACACATTCAACTGCATGTGTACGCACACAGAGAAGCATGCACACACATACAGACTCACATATACACACATACAGACTCACATATACACACATGAACACATACAAGCATACACAGAAGCATGCACACACAGACTCACATATACACACACACATGAACACATACACACATACACAGAAGCATGCACACACATACAGACTCGCATACACACATATATGCACACAGACACAGAAACATACAAAAGGTGAGAAACAAAATCATAGAAATTATAACTGAACAGTAATTCCCACTTTAAAATGAGCCTCACACTATTAAGGACAACACAGACTCACCAAGAAGTCAAGATGGATTAAACTTAGCATCCTTTTCTTATAGGACAATTAAGTGAATTTTTTTATTAAAAAAAACTTTGAACTGTTAAGTATGTTCAAACAGGTAGATTTGTTTGAAATTTTTAAAAATGCATTGCTCATTTGTATGACTTTGGAAATCACATCCCTTAGGAAAAAGTCAAAGACTCCAAGGGTGAGCATATTGAACTTAAGAAAAGAAAGGCTTGATGAAAACTAATAAAATTAGCAAGAGAAGAACACATAAATGTTCCATGTGTCACTAGGATTCACTCACTCGTCCTTTCAGCAAGCATGCGCAGAACACCAGTGATGCAGCAGGCACTGTTCCCGGTGTGAGCTATGTCCATCCCTGCCCTGAAACTTGGCATGCCAATAGGGAAAAACAAACAAGCGTTAAGCACGGCAGCCTTCCCAAGGTGGTACACAGCCATCCTGGAGTTCACACTTACATGTGTGGGGGCTGGAACTAACAGACAATAAGAAGTGATGGGCATCATCCAAGACTGGGTTATAAGAGACCAGTGTCTTGCTTATACATTCTCCATCTCTCTGTTTGCTTGCTGTGGTTAGGTCCCCTGCCAGCTTAGGAGACCCACCTTGGAGAAGCCCTGTAGAGGAAGAGGCAGGTTCCAGGCACCAGCTAGCACCAATTAAGGCCCTCAGATCAGCAGCCCACAGAGAACAGCACCATCCCATCAGCCACACAAATGGGCTTACAATGAAACCCCTTCCAGTGGAGCACTGAGGAGACTAAAATGGCCAACACTTCATGGTAACCTAGGAGGGGCCCGGGGTGCAGCTCTATCCAGATGCCTAACAAACAAAGCTATGACAGAAAACATATTCAGACACTAAGTGCTGGAGTGAATATCTCACACAATAACATATAAATGATCTATATAAAAGATGCCTTTTTAAAAAAAGAGCAGAATAGGCCTGGCGGTGGTGGTACACACCTTTAATCCCAGCACTTAGGAGGCAGAGGCAGGCAGATCTCTGTGAATTTAAGAACAGCCTGGTCTATGGAGTTAGTTCCAGGAAAAACTCTTGAGCTACATGGAGAAACCCTGTCTTGAAAAAAAAAAAAAAGAAAAGAAAAAGAGTAGAACAGGGAAGAGAAACAAAAGTGAATTTTAAGAACAAGTATAATAAAGCTTACATATAAATGTTTACAACAGCACAATTCATATATGTCAAAAGGTTAAAAAAAAAACACTGAAATGTCATGAATTAGTGAATAGAAAAGCAAAATGCAGTATGCCTGTCCAGTGAAATCTTATTCAGCCATAGAAGAAAATGAGTGTGGGTGCATGCACAGCATAGTCAGATCTGAAATACATCCTGCTAAGTGAATGCACCCAGTCACAAAACATTAGGGACGTGCCACGGCCATCTGAAGGGTTCAGAAACAGAAAGAAATGTAGAGGTTTCCTAGGCTACCACTGGGGAAAGACCAAAGGCAACTGAACATGAAGGACCTTACTGGAGGGTGACAGAAGATCATGATGGGGGCTGTGGAAATCAGTCAAATGACTGATAATCATAGGTTTATACAATTAAATGTGCAAACTTTATGAAACCTATCTCAAAAAATAATTTTAAAAAATGAGGCAGGCAGGGCATCATTGAAAATACGTTGTTAGCAGAAATCTAAAGTAGGAAGGGTGTTCACTATTCCCAGGGAAAAACAGACACAGAAACTTATGCAAAGTGCCATGGGAAGGAGCATGCTTGATATGCCTGCATGGTGCAGAGGTGTAGTGTGGCTGGAGCCCGGGATGAGGAAGGAGAAGAGGAAGTGAGCAGATCCAGAAGGAAGGAGGCATCACAGCATCCAGAGTGCATGAGATCCCTGGGGAGATGGACTGCAGCGGGGTATATGAAGCTTCTGGGAATAGAAGGGTTAGAATCTGCTTTGCATCTCAAAATAATCACACAATGCAACAAAATTATAAGCAGCAACTAGAGCTGGCCGTGGTGGCGACCCCTGTGATCCCAACACTCAGGAAGGAGAGATGAAAGGACTCTGAGCCTAAAGCAGACTGGACTGTGCAGCAAGTTCTAGGTAACTCAGAGCTATATAATGAGAGCTCGTCTTTAAGGAAAGGATTGTGAACAAGGGCTTAGGGGCACTGATTAAGGAAGCATTTCCGCCGGATGGTGGTGTCACACACCTTTAATCCCAGCACTCGGAAGGCTCCAAAGTTACACAGAGAAACCCTGCCTTGAAAAACCAAAAGCAACCCAAAAAGAAGAAGGAGGAGGAGGAGCATTTTCCTGGATGAAAAAAATTACTCAGCGATAGTCATTTATTCCTGCTAAAAGGCAAATGCAGAATATTCTATACTAGTGCATGTTATATAACGCTTAACAAATTTATTAAAAAAAAAAAACAGAAGGGTTGGGGGCACATGAAGGCTCCATAACCTGCTGCATCCAGAGCAGCTGACCCCTCTTATATGACTGAGGCAGTGAAGGTCACTCCCTGAGCAGAAGGTGGAATTTGTCAGTGTCTTAAACTGTGACCTGCTTGCCAACCACATCAGGCCCTGCATGGGGTGTAGAGCATAGGCGGTCCTCTCCCTCTCTTCCTGCCTTCTGACATAGGAGCCTGGGGATGTAGCCAAATCTTACACACTTCTACAATATTCTTTACAAATGATAAGCCTGATCAAGTTCTCTTATGAGAAAGCGCACAGGTGACCTAAGCCATGTATCTGAGGAAAGAGTTAAGAGCTCAATCCACACGAACATTCTAAAGATCGTCTTTAATTTCATCACAAAGTTAATGTCCCCTATCTCTCAGCACTTACCCAGTTGTTTTTCTTCCCAGCATAAATTTCCATGTTCTCTCCATACTGAGGCTCTTCCAGGAGTGTCTGGTACTCAAACATGAGGCGTGAGCTCTCGCGGAGGCGGCTGCATTGAAACTGGTGGTACTGCTGCACCAGCTCCTTCACCACGAGCAGGAGGCACTCAGGGTTTGAAGGGTTCCAGGAGGCGAGGTTCTGAGGAGTCAGAAATGAGGACCAGTAAGAAACAATTTCATACAAATCCCTTGTCACAACTGCACATCAAAGCAGAGGAAGGGAGCAATAAAAGCCTTCGAGCAAGACTATTCCTGATGGGCTGGGCACTCAGGAATAATGAAGAAAAAAACAGGTCATGCCAACGTAAGAACTGAAATCACCTAAAAGACTGATTTTGACCCTGAAACACTGAATTTGTTTTCTATTCTTTTATGTTCTTTGTTCCTAACAGGAAGCATGTAATTCAACATTCTATGCAAAAGTAATTTAATTCCACATCCACAGACCACCTGCATCCGTAACCCCAGATGTAAACAAATGCTCTGCAAACAACAGCATTTCACAGAAATAGAAACATAATAGTATGGGCTGATCTGGAAAAGGACAGGAAAGGAGAAGACACAAGGGGAAATACATCTAGGAAATGCAAGATTGGGGGGGGGGGGCAGAGGACTAGTAAGATCATTCATTCTTTCCACAGTAAGTGCTGAGTCTCCCGTTGTGCTGCAGCCACTGGTCTAGACAGTGAAGAAAGCAAGTCCTTTGTCAAACTGAGACCGTATAGCAGTGAGGACTATAGCAGCTACCTGAAAACCTAGACACCTGAAGTCATGGCCTTCCTCAACTAATACTGAAGTTTCAAGGGTGACCACCAATGTTTCTACAGAGTAAGTGCAAACATCAGCACAATAAAAGGGGACATGGTAGCATCTTCACATGTCCTGAAAATAGTCTGATGCCACAGATTTCTGAAGGGTCCCCAGGGATCTGCAGACCCACTGTAGAACCATCACTCTACAATACATTCCTTTAAATACAACTTAAGCGTAGTCGCTAGCTAAAGAAAACAAACATCAAAGTCAATGCCCTTGGTATCCATGGTTTCAACATTCATAGATTCAACCAACCACAGATTAAACTCATTTAGAAAACAATACACTTGTACTGAACTAATATTTTTCCTTGTCCATTATTCTCTAAGCAAAAGAATGACTATTTATGCAGTATTTATATGACAGGCGTCCTAAGCAAGCCATAGATGATGTGCACATATTACTACAAATACCATCGCATGTTATAGAAAGAACTGAGCAGCTGCAAGTCTTGGGATCCATGGCATCTCCTGGAACTGATCTCCCACATATACTCAGGAACAGTGGTACTCTGCTCTGTTGAGTAGACTAACCTGACAGTGGGGAAGGAACGAGGCATTCCTTTAATTGATAGAAGGGATGGGGCTAAGCAGACACTCACGAAAAGAGGAAGAGGAAATGCTTCCGCATCCTACAATAAAGTAGCCATGGCGATATAAAAGTGATTTGGTCAGAAGAACACAGAGTCCTGCATGGCAAAGCTCTTGACCTTGACAGCCTGAGATTCCTCTGAGCTATTCAAAGTCTCATTAAAAATACTGACAGAATGTACGAACACAGACCAGAACTGAAAATGGACCACTACATAGCTTGCTATGTGTTTCCTTCAGAGATCATTCAACGCACAAATAGGAAAGAAAATGACATTCTGCTTTCTGGAGAAGTCATGTATGCCTTCCCAAGCTGCCTATTGTCCTAAAGCAAAAGGAAAAGGTTTTAGTCACCTCGATTTCTACTTTATAAACTTTTCCATTTTTCTTCAGGGTTTAGAAAGCTGCATGCCCATACCCACACAATAAGATAAATTATAAAATATTATTACCTGGAAAACATCTGAGTAATTTGAATTTATTTCAAGTCATTTATTCTAATTCTTAAATTCACAGTACAGGCATGCCAACCAACACCTCCTTCCTGTTAAAAGGCGGCCTCCCAGTACCTGGAAATGCCTCTGACCTTGACCATTCAGACACACTTCACTGGAAACCATGCCCACCAGTGCAGGTTTAGACATACTAAGCTAGGTACAGATTTGTCTCCTATGGCTACATGACCACCTTGTTAAATAAGCCATGCTGGGATCACGTTATCTGGGGGAAGGGGATAGAAAATATAAAAGGTTTTAGTCACTCCCTAAGACTGAGTCTCCTGAAGACTAAGACATATTTTAAAAACCATGTCTAGAATACAGGACGCTCTGCTTTCTAATTCTCATGAGTAGTAAATACAGCAGAATGCACAAACTTCGGTCGGGGAGGAGGCAGTGGTATACATTTTCTGGACTCTACAGAAAAGGAAGATCTAGCTGTGTCTCCATTCACAAAGTTCGCTCTACTTTATTTTTGCTAGTGAACCAAGGAAGACATCTGAAATGAAGATGGCGACAAACCACAGGCACGGGTCACACATGTACTAACAAGAAAGAACACTACGATGGATCCTAAAATGAAGAACACAAAATACATCTGAAGAAAATGATCAACTCTAGTCAAAGAAGACAGCAAAGAGTTGGGAAGAACTTAATTTGCCCTCACGAATGCCTGTGACACAGTTGGGACTGGGAAGGGGTGGAGTGCGGGGCTGTTCTTTTCAGAGACTGCTGAGCTGGTGGGGTTGGGTTCTGCCGATAGTCAAGAACAGAGAGCACCTGAGACTATATCAAATGGAAAGCTGCACCTCCCTCAGTGGGGATACTAAATTATTCATGGAGCAGAGTCAGTCATTTCATGGGGATGGTAATTCTCTGCCCCTGCTCTGGCTACCCTGTCCAGCTGCTTCAATTCCAAGGCTCACAGAATACTTTGGGAATGTTAGTGCCACATGCTGTTGCGACAGGTCATGGCCTCAGTGGACTTTGGAAATGACCAATGACATTTTCATTTCTAAGGGACGAGGAACTGAACAAGCAGGAATTGTTTAAATGTCCGTTTGCGGGAACATACACATGATAACAAGAGAACTACATCTGCTATTGGCTTATCCACCACAAGACTACATCACAGGTTAGCAATGAAAACCTCTATTATACCTTAACATACAAATATAAATATATCAATACAAACAAGTCTAATTGTCTTTAGATATATTTTCATAATTCCTTGAAATGCAACAAGTTCCTACTTTCTTTTAGCTAACACAAGATGGATATGGTGCGGATGACAGGAGGGGCAATGAGAAAGAAGCTTCAGGTCTACACAGCATCTCTAATCCCTGTTCACATAAAAGCTCTCGAAATAGTCACACAGTCCTGCAGCTGGCAAACAAACGAACAAACACAGATCGCAATACTGGAATCCCATCCCAGGCTGGGGGCAGTGCTAACGGACAGTTACTATTTGGGGTCTTTGTTCCAAAGAAGATTCAAGCACTAAGAACAAAATGAAGCACTTGGAAGGGAAGAAGGACTGTGTACTCCTGTAGCACACTCACAATGGAAGACATTGGCCAGGCCAGCAATTAAACAGGGCAGTGGTTGCAGGCATCTAGTGGCTTTATTTTCAAATATTCGAATAACTTTCTTGTAGGCAGCACTTAATGCATCAGAGGTTCAAGACTGTTGTGATATTTGAAGTTGTTAGTTAATAGTCTTTCAAAGCCCAGTGGAGTTGATTAGAGAAATATACAAATCTCTAAGATCTAAACAAATAGCTAAGTAGACACCAATAAAAAGTCATTTGAGGGATTAATGTGCAATAACAAAAGCAGTCTAAGAATAGAGGGTAGTTAGGCCTGAACACTCACTTGAAAAGAATGGCTACAGGTAAATGGAATGTATACTGAGAGAAGAAGGTGGCTCATGACCTGTGTTCAGTGGCCACTCCCAGCCATGACCAGAGTGCAAAGGAAGCACCCGGATTGTCTAAACCCGCAGCCCAGAGCTCTCGGAGGTTCTGATCTGCTTCTTAACCAAGAACTGACCTCTCCAAGTCTGTGTTTGAGGCCCCTTCTAAAAGGGATGTGTTCATTTTTCATTTTATTATCTTTTGTGTATAAGTGGTTTGCTTACATGTGTTTTAGGCTTCATGGGGGTGTCTGACACCTATAGAAGTCAGACAAGGGCACGGATCCCCTGGGACTGGAATTATAGACAGTTGTGAGCCACCATGTTGGAAGCTGAGAACAGAATCTGAGGGCTCTACAAGAGCAACAAGTGCTCTTAACCAGCAAGCTCCCTTCTGAGACCCTAAAAGGATTTTTTTAATGACTTGGAAGATGGCACCCATGAGTCCATTCCCCAGTCTTACTGTAAAATAGTAGCCAGCAAAGTCTTCTGGCTCCTAGTGTAATATGATCTTGACTCCATTTCCTATGGACATAGAGCCAGAAGACAAGATCAAGGGGAAAATACGCAAACATCTTAATAATGAAAAGGAACTTTTCCATGTGATTTTGTGATAGTACTAACAAATCTCGTACAAGAGAGAACACATAAAGAAAGCATGTCTGACTTGACTGCAGTCTCCTAGCAGGCTTACCCAGCTAAAGAGGAACTTTCAAGGACCAGAGGCACTCTAGAGCACCTTCAGATATCTACCCCAAGGTGACGTCATGATGTCCACAGTTTCTCTCATCCAGTTTTGGTCTAGGATATCAGAACTATTAGTGCTGGAAAACTGGCTTAATTTCTTCTATGAGCAAGCAAGGCTTAATTCTAAAATACGAGAAAGTAAACTAAAATTGTAGATGTGGTTCCACTTAGAAAATTCAAAACCTGTATTGTCCCTTCTTGGACATCAAAAGTTGCTGTAGAGACCACCTTTCTGTGGCCCTTAAAAGAAGGGGACAAGGACACAGCCCCGTCCCACAGTGAATCTACAGTTCAACTGGGTCTCTAGGATCCCACAGCAGTTGGCTTCTTAGGTTGCATTTCTTCCTTCACAGCGGATGGGAAGAAACAAGGGTAGCAGGGCACAGAGGGAAGAAGTTTCTGAGAGCTCCTCTTGCTCCACCCTCCCTCTCTCTCAGAGGCTCTCTCAAGTGGCACAGGGGTGAAGACAAAGGCAAGCATGCCCCCCCCCCCAAGGAAGAGACCTAACAGCATCCTTCTACAGAGAGCACAGCCATCTTCCCTACGTGTGAAAGAGCACAGCACGAACACACTAACGT